ATCAGAGGTTCAAGTGTAATTAATAGTGTATCCTTTATTTAGTGAGGTAACTTCACAAAAGAGAGGATCTAAGTAAATGCATCAAAGTAAAGGTGATATAACTTTTCCTTAATCAATACCAATTTTTACGTCATAATAATCTGAAGTTCTATATGTTGTAAAAATAGCATTTTTTCTTGTAGTGAAAAGATTGATCAAAAAATCAATAGCTGATTTTGAAACTTTGATGCAATTGAGGGCTAGATAAAGAAACTTTAAGTCTACTCTATCATAGACTTTAGAGAGATCTTGAAGTAAAATCCAAATTTCTTTTTTGTTTTCGATTGCATCTTCGAGACACATATTGACAATTTTGATAGGTACTTCAGTTGATCCCCTAGGTAGGCAAGCAAAATTTCCACCTCATAGTATATTGTGTTTGGCAAGTATTGTGAAGAGTCTGTTGGTAATAATTTTGATAAAACCTTTATGACAAGTTTCTAATAATGTAATAGGTCTTGTTTTTGTTATGTCGTATTCCCAGTCTATAGGTTTTAGAATAGGGTAGATGTGTGTAATTTTTCATTCATTTGGAACATCGCCTAAGGTGAAGCATATACAGATGAGTTTTCAAAGTAGTTTTTGAAGTTTATCGCCTAGATGAGAAAGCATTTCATTAGAAATTCCTAAGGGACCAGTAGCTTTATTATTAGGAAGTGATTTGAGAACAGCAATCCATTTGTCATATGTAGGTAGTTGCATTAAATTTGAATAATGTGATTTATCTACGTAATCTCTAGAATTGAATTGGTTAATCCATCTGGAAGACATAGACAGCGCAGGTGAGGCAGAAAGGGCGAAGTTTTGGAAATGATTGATAGTAGCGCTTTTGATCTCATTTGGACAGATTGTAAAATGATTTATAGAAGTGTTCAGATTCTTGATAAGTAGGCGATCTAATACAATGAAACACTTTTTTCTATTTAAAATTGAATTAATCATTTTAGGGAGTCGTTTTGAAGATTATTACATCTTTTGTCTATAAAGATTTTGATAGCTTTCTCTTTGGTATGTTAGACATCGATTTGAACAAGAGCAGAGAGTAATTTGTGAATGTCTTTGAGCTGTTTCTTGACATTACGAACATTAGAAACGTCTAACAAGGGAGAGAGTATGATTATTAAAAGTTTAGCTGCTATGACTAATTTATCTATAGCCGATTTGATAGCTTAACAATCAATAGCATTAGGCCAGATTTGTTATTGTATGAAAGTGTTTTTGAATTTCAGTAAAAACGAGGCAACTTTGTGGACGCTAATGAGAGAGTCAGGTTGTTCAAAAGGATGCTTGTGATATTGTTGGAGACAGATCCAAGTTTGAGGAATGCAGCTGCGATTTGCTACAAGAATAACAATCTTAATTTAGACTCACAGGATGTTCATATTAGTTTTATTGTGGGAGAGGCTATAGAAATGATCAAAATTGTGATAGCGATAATGAAAGTTAGTATATGCGGTAAATTCAGTCCATTTAGCATTGTTCATTATTTTTAGATTAGGGATCTGCTTTTTGTTTTGTAGGTTATGAGATTTGGCAGATTGCTGTTTGCAAAAATCAGAGAAAGAAGCGAAAACGATTTTGTGATTTGAGGAATAAAAGTCAAAAGTGTTAATATAAGAAAATAAAAATCTAAGATGATATTGGGTAAAGCAAAAATAGTATCAATTCAGAAATTATAGGGTCTTAAATTGTATGTCAGTTAGGATATATAATGACACATATCATAAAGATCGAAAAAATTCAGGGCAAAAAGTTTTTGATAGAATTTCATTTGCCAATGAATCAATTTTTCATTGCATACTAGTGATCAATATATATCTAAGTTAGCATTAAAATCACCTAGAATTATAGTTCTAAAGTCAGACTTAAGACCTTTTTTGACATGGATAAAAATTTCTTTGTGTAATTTTATTTGTTCTTTCTTGATTCTCATTTCGGTAGAAGTGTGTAAGTAGATACAAAAGATTCTAAGTTTGACGTTGCCTGCTAAGTAAAGGTCAATGTAAATAAATCTATCGTGATTTAAAAATGCTTTTTGAATATAAATTGCCTAAAATTTTTTAATAAGGATGTCACACCAGCATAAGGGTTGATGTTGTTGCTCTAATAAGAAGTGTAAGTGGAATCAGATAAATTGCGAAAAGTTTGGTCTGCTTTGTGTTGAATTTCAGTAAGATCAACAAAATCAGTGTCAAAATCTGAAAAAAAATCGTTGATGAATTGATTTTTGATCAAATATTGGAGAGAATTGACATTGTGTGTGATAAAAGTAATAGTAAAGGCAGATTATAACATAACATCTTGTTGAGTTAATATCATAAGTGTGTCGTTATTAGTATTAGAAATATTATTAGTATTGTTATTAATTATGATTGAGGATAAAGGTTAAGGGTGAGGGAGTTATTATGCAGTCTTGTTGACAAAAATGGTGATTTGAGTTATTATCTCTTTAAGTTATTTGTGTAGATTGCTGATTAAAGCATTTTGTTTGTCCATATATGCTTAAAGTTTGGGATTGACAGAATGAAAAGTGGAGGAGTTGTTTTCATCAGATGATGAGTTAGTAATACGAATGCGTTTTTTCTGATTGAAGTTTAAGACGAGGTCATGCAAAACAGGTTTGTGAGGAATGCTAGATGTGGAAAGGATAGAGGTAGAGTCTGAGTTGAATTCATGTTTTTCTAGCTTCGAGATGTAAGCTTTCAATTCAGACATATCCTTTTGCATCTTTGTTAACATATCAAGGATTTGTCGAGTTTTTTGTTTGTATTATAAGTCAAAGTAATTTTAGGATTGTGGATAGAGTCATCAACTGTTTGTGATCCTTTACCTTTATTGAGGATCAGTTTTAGGAGGTAAAGGCTAGTTGGTCTTTCTTTTTTTGTATAGTATTTTTAACGATAAGGGAGCAAGATCTAACAGGTTTAAAACAGTTATAAAGTCTTTGTACAGAAAACAGTTTGAATCTAGAAGGTCTAGGTTCATCAATGTCATCTGTTAATTTTTTCTGTTCTAGAATTAAAGGGTATTTCATTACTATATGGTCAGCTGCGTCACATTTATGGCAGCATTTACTAAAAACGTAGCTGTTGGTGATAGCTATCTTTAAATCCTCAGCCGATTCAAAATAAAGAATGGTGAATAGTCTGAGTTTATAATTATTTGAGCGGGGAATATAACATGATTTTGCTTTAACAGCAAGCATAATATCTTGAAGGTCACAGGTGAAAATTCTAAAGGGAAGGTTGGTTAATTTAACTTTGAATTTATTCCTTTCTTTGACTTTGTTTTGGAGAAAAGTATGCAGGATAGATGCAAACACAATTATTGTAAATATAACGAGACCATATTGTGTAGAACAATTTAATTGCATCTGGATTGTCATAAGTAATATATACATGTTGCCATAAGTCCCTGGTCTGCATGCAGATGTTTGTGATATTACCGTATTTGAAAAAGATTGAAGTGATTGTATCTTTTTTAAGACTGAGGTGAATGTCTGTAACACGCAGAATTTTATTCTGAAACTGTATGTTATTCTTATAAACAGTGTAGTCCACAAATTTCTCAATGCCCAATTCAGGAAGTTGGGTAGAAAGCGCAGCTTGCATAGATTCTGCATTATCAAAATAAATAACTTCAGAACGCACAAAATTTACACAATGTACATACAGTTCTCTGAATGCATCATCCTGCGCAAACGCATTGTTGATCACACAGATAATTTGGTGAGTGAAGAGTTCCTTGGTATTTTTGCTAATGGAAGCAGCGAAAGCAAAAGAAGAGGGATGAGGAATGACAATAAAGTCAGAGTTTTCAGTCTCCATATTTGTATTGTCTTCGATAGAGACAAATTCTTGAGTATTAAGGACGTTGGGTGACAGGGTGGACTGACTGACGTAGGTATTATTGACAATATTCTTGTCAGTGACCAAGGATGAGTTGGGCTTTTCTCTAAGGCGAGAAGAGCCGTTAGCTTCAGGTTGCTTAGCTTTGAGAAAGTTGTAACGACCTTTGTTAGTTTTGTTAACAGAAGTTTTTTGGGATTTTCTAACCATTTTGTAAAAGTTATCAAATAAATAAACTCTTTCAAGTGTTTTAAACTGTTTGTAAAAAGTGAGCTAAAGAACTAGCTAACAGAGTTGTAAATTTTAAATAAAGTTTTTGAGCGAAACAATTTTTATTTTCTCAGTAAATTTCTAAAATTTTAGAAATTCGGGGTGAAAGGAGAAAGAGTTTTTTTTGTAAATCTGAATTAATAATTATGGTAAAGATCGAACAACTGATGATGCTCGTCGTAATATTGAAGAATATGAAATAGAGGAATATAATGAGGAAGAAATAATCATGACACGTTCACTTGATGATGATGAGCAAATTCCATTTCAAGAATTAGAGATTTCAAAAATACTTGATTTGGAATTAATGTTTTGGAATAAGCCAGTAGGAAATAAACAATTAGAAATTGACGAAAGTGATAAATTTATTCAAGAATTGAATAAGGAAGATTTTGATCCAGATTCATTAGTTCAAGGTTTTATTAATAATAAATTAGTTAATTTGTGTTTGATTAATATAATTGAAATTATATTAGTAATAATATAATAAATTTATAAAAAATAAAATAAGTTTTAGCATATTTCAGTTTATATGTTTCGAAATCGGGTTTCGGTTTCGATACCCATGTTTAGTTGCCACTTTATTTTATAAAAAAAAAAGTGAAAATTTTTTATTTATTTAGATTAATTGCATAATTTCGACCAATGATAAATTAGTGGACACATGACTTAGAATTTATTTACGAACGAAAGAAAATTTTTAAGAAAAAAATACTCGGAACCAAAGTCATTTGCAAGAAACTCCCTAGAATGAATCGCAAAAATTATTTTTTTTATTGACCAAAGATTCAATTTAATTCCATAAAAGAATTACATATATTATTTTTTTATACAATTATATAATTAGGAACTAATAGTAGTAGATGTAGGATTGGTAGGATTTGCAGGATTGGCAGGATTGGCGGTAGAAAGACGATCGATAACTCCTTGAACTCCACCAACTGCATTTCCAAGAGCATTTTTCAGGCGTCCTTCTCTTATAGGAGGCTTAATAAAAAACAATTTGACTTGTGTGCCATTAAATATACCAAGATAATTTGAAGAAGCTAAATAAATTTGTCCCCATAACAAACTTGAAAACCAAACTACACTAGCTTCGGACCATTGGAATTTACGGATAAGAATAGGTTGTGGTGGTGGAAGAATTCCAACCATTGTTACCTTTCGGAGAAATTCTAGAACAGGCTGATCTGAATTGATGGATCGTGATACGCATATATCTTCAATTTTAGGAACAAGTTCTCCAAGCAAAATTAGAATTGTTCCAAGAGGAAAATGTGAATGCCATGAAGAGACCTTCAGATAAAAATTTTTAAATATAAATTGAAAATTTTACGATTGAAAAAAAAAATTGTTAAATTAAATTATACAAACCCAATCTTCGGTTGGAACAAATCCTGATTTTCCAACAGCAAATGTCGGTACTATATTATTACTTTTTATACTATCATTACTCTTTCGACGACTTTCTGCTGTAACGCCTTCAGGTAATTTACCACGGGCTTTTTCAGATAATGGCACTGAATCTTGATCAGATATACCTATTTGACTATCTTGGCTAGTATCGATATTTGAAGATGCTTGCAATTCAGGTTTCTCATTAACATCTCCATGATCTTCATCTTTTTGAGTACTTAAATTACTTTCATTATCTGACACCGACGGCCGTGATGGTTCATCTTGTGAATTCTTAACTTCTGATTGTTCAGATGTTTTTTCCATAGCTGCAATCCGTACCTGTTTTTTACGTTGTTCTTTTGCGGCTTGAATCTTTTTTATTTCAATCAAACCTTTTGCAAGAGTAAATTCTGACAATTCCTCGAAACATTTAGGACTCCGTAAAATAGCATAAATAAGGTGTGGGTTATCTAGAAATAAATACACATCAATACATGAAATCAAATATATTAGACGATTTAAATAACAATTAAAAAATTTTAGAAAGGAGAACGGACCCGAAAATTGATATTGAATAATGTTATTGAATGCTTCCAACATATATTCGGCCAATCGATGATTTCCTTCTTCAGCTAACAGAAACCCGGGTGAAGTAAACTGTGAAAATAGATGGACTAATTTTGTAGATGAAACTACGGATAAATTCTTCAAGTAGGGGGATACGTTAGTAATTGTTAACACATATGCAGGATATAGTGAATGCAACGTCCCACGCGTAGTTGCTATAAGAACATATATTGACTGAAATAGAAATTAGATATAACGTTAGAAAAAAAAAAAATTTCCATAAAGCATCATAACATTATATTGTAAATTCACTTACACTAATCATATAATCCGCATAAGTTCCATTAAACGCTTGAATACGGACATTAGCAGGAAGAGAACCGTGATTTTCAAACGGTTTATTTAATTTCACGCCAAAATCACGATCACCTGACAATGTCTGCAAAATAAATGCACACATACGCACTAATCCTAGTTGTGCTTTAAGGAATAAGAAATGTATGAATATCAACAAATATAATCGCAAGTCTAAATAAGAATTAAAGTTAATAAAACCATACCTGAATCTTGTTTATTTTCAATCGAGTAATATAAAAGGACGACAAGCAAATCCAATACTTTATCAGTCTCCAACAAGTAATTTCGAAACCTCTGATAATGATAAGCATGTAATGTTAATTTTGATATAAATAATCTTCAATGATATAATATGTTACCTTGTTAATTTCTATAAACTTCCAACAAAGCATCATCATTTCTTGATGACATCGAACTTGCTTTGTTGAACCTGGCAAATATGTGTTATTTGCCTAAATTCAATGAGGCCATTGTAAAATTATTAGAATACCGTTTCAGGATTTGTGATTATTGTATCATTATTATTATTATTTTTTTTTGAAAGGTACCTGCATAGGGTTACTCAAAATACGGTAAATGCCATCCATGAGAAATTGAAAATCTTGAGCTCGATGCAATTTCGAAGCATAATATCGAAATGCATTATCGACATGGGAAGGTATTTGTCCCTTCGGTGTATTTTGTGTAGACGAAGTAACTTTAGAAGTAGCATCTGCAGATGGTGTATTATCTTGAGTATTGTTGGCTACTCTAGCAGTTTCATTAGTTTCATTAGATGTTAAATTATTAGGTGATTGAGTTATCGATTCCTTTTCCCTCTTGACTGTTTCCACGGAACCCGTTCGTTGCTGTTCTCTAGCGGTCGAATCATTTGTTATGATCCGATTTGAAGGAGCGCGGTAATCCAATAAAACCAATAACACTTGTAGACACATTGTCACGAGCATTTCACGTGAGTCCGCGAAAACAACATGATTATATGGTACACCCCATCCCGTAGGATCATATTTGACAGCAGTATTAAGCAAACTACAAAGCAGTGCAAGAATGACCTTGCGATCGATTTTAAGCACTAAATATTTGATCCATTTGTTTTCTTTTCCTATATATGTTGCTAAATTAATCAAATAAGCATTAAACTTCCTTTCATATAAATTAATTCCCAAAGTAATTTTTCAAATTAATACCTCCTGACATATACATCGACTTTGAGATTAATACAAGCAATAATCTTAAAGTTTCCGTTTTATTGTAATCATTTTCTTTCGATGAACCAATGGGCATAGTAGAACCTACACCTGTCTCCCTTATAAAAGATGAAATAAGATATTTAACATATGAGACGATGATTAATAAGACACAATTTTTTTTTTTTTACCAGTTGACATATATAATTCGACCGTTATCTTTTGCCAAAGTTGCTGGTAATGTGAATCCCGCCAAAAAGAGGAGATCAATTATTACCGATAACAATCGTTCACCCAAAGGAGGAATAGTTTCGAAATCTGTATTTTGTGTTTGTGATGCCTAAATATATTCCGAAAAGGTAAGGAATTTTAATAAATTGACTATGATGCGTTTCTCATTGAATTGTTCATTTGAACCGATAAAGTCTAGATAGTCTAGGACCTATATCATCATAATGTATTTGATGTTGAATAACATAAGCATTAGAATGCTTTTTACGTTGCAGAATCGGAACAATATAAAATCTCTCCAATTTGAACTAATGATTCTTAAAACGTTTATACTACCATATAAATATTTCAATTAGATATTTGAATGAAATTCTACCTGGCTTGATTCTTTTGCCAGACTCTCGTTAGTTGCTTCATTTCGCATTTGTGGGAGATTTTCGCTCGTTTCAGTCTTATGATTCTTCTTAACTTTCTTATGTTGAGGTGTCCAAAAAAATTTTTCCTCCCAATCTCCCATTTCTTCAGATTCAAATATAAATGGTATTAACCGAGTAAGGATCCTTATACAATTCAAAAGTTGTAGGGTTGAATTTTGTGTTGATGGGAAATCTGGTGCTCTCATGATCCGAAGTAAACGGTCAATGACCTGAATTTCCAGTAATTGTTAATTTTTTTTTATTTTTAAAAACAGCTCAACTTAAATTTTTGTTGTAAATCATTAATTGAATAATTTGAACAATTTATTCAGTTACATGAACGCGACAAACCTTATTTATCAATGTCTGTAAATTTTCTCTAGCTTGATCCCTCACACGTCGAATATCCTGCGCGCCCACAAGAGAGAAAACATCGTCTGCTGATTCAGGAAGAAGCCAATACTATAAATTTGTAATTTATATTTTAGTATATATACTCAAAACTTTAATAATTAACAAAAATTTAATAAAGCATTTTACCTGCGACCAATACTCGTCGTTGGCTGGAATATTCTGAAGAGACAAATAGATAAAAATAAGAACACATACTCAAGTTCCCGATACTAGAATAGATGTTACTTGCCCTTTCTTCAAATAACCTAAACACGCCTTTACGAAAGACGAGTTTGCTTTCAGTTGCCCCCATTAAGGAATTTTCTTATAAACTAAATTGAAAATCAAAGGAATTCGTAGCTATTAAGGAATTTGTCAAGTTGAAAAACACGCATTTAAAATGAAAACTGATCGGGACTAATTTTATTCATTGCTCCGTATCACTTGGCCAATCAAAATGTGAAACGATTAAAATTCACATTTACTATGGGGGGGCTATGTAAATTGTGGAACAATGTTTAATTGGTTGACTCAGGAATTTCGAGATCCAAAGCAAGGTCTGTGTCATAGAAAAATGTGAATATATAAGTATCCACTCTTCAAACGTCGCTTATTACGAAACGATAATATAGATATTACAAAATGTCTAAAAATAATATGAGCCCCGAAGAGAAATATGAACTGATTTCAAGGAATCTTCAAGAAGTTTTGGGTCGGGAAGAAATATTGAATATTCTTAAGGAGAGAGATTTAAAGCTCTATTGGGGCACTGCTCCTACCGGAAAGCCTCATATTGGTTATTTTGTACCCATGTCCAAAATTGCCGACTTTTTATCAGCCGGTGTTGAGGTGCGTTTTTTTTCCTCAAAGTCCAAGTTTCGTTTATCGCGTTTATTATACAGAGAAACAATGAACTTAATACTCTATTACAATTGTTCTGTTGTTCTTTTCTTTTTTTTTTTTTTTTTAATTATAAATGGCATTTAGGTCACAATTCTATTAGCCGATATTCACGCATTTCTTGATAATATGAAAGCACCACTTGATCTTGTAAAATTTCGAACGAAATATTACGAAGTGCTTATAAAAAATGTTCTAGAATCAATCGGAGTTCCGATCGACAAATTAAATTTTGTCATAGGATCCAGTTATCAATTAACGGAGAAGTATAATATGGATAATTACAGACTTTGCGCCACTGTAACAGAACACGATGCAAAAAAAGCTGGTGCTGAAGTAGTTAAACAAGTTGAATCCGCATTATTATCTGGATTATTGTATCCAGGTTTACAAGCGTTGGATGAAGAATACTTGGGAGTAGATGCACAATTTGGAGGAGTTGATCAAAGAAAGATATTTGTCTTTGCAGAAAAATATTTACCACACCTTGGCTATAAGAAGCGTTCACATCTTATGAACCCGATGGTTCCAGGGTTGACGGGATCCAAAATGTCATCATCCGATCCAGATTCTAAGATTGATCTTTTGGATGATGCCGCTGCCGTATCCCGCAAATTGAAAAAGGCCTTCTGCGAAGAAGGAAACGTGACAGATAATGGTGTACTTTCTTTTGTAAAGTTCGTTTTATTTCCCCTCAGATCACATAATGAGAATACCCCTAGTTTTGTAATAAAACGCAATGAAAAATGGGGCGGTAACGTAACTTATACGGATTATCAATCACTAGAAGATGATTTTCGCGATAAGAAGATTCATCCTGGTGATTTGAAAGCCTCGGTTACGGAATCGATTAATGATTTATTAGAACCAGTTAGGGAAAAATGGAAGAATGATCCCGAACTTCAAAACTTAATTAGTCAAGCTTACCCTGAGCCTCAGAAAATAGTTAAGAAGAAAAAAACTAAAAAGCAAAATCAAAACACATAAAAATTATTATAATATCCGGGTCAAAAATATTTTATTCTAATAAAACTTTAATTATCCGTTATACGTTAAAATTCTTTTCACTCAGTGATTCTAAAGATGATGATTCAAAGAATGAAATTTTATTGATATGATTTTAATCAAAGTTAATCTTCATCCATAGGATCTTCCATGATTTCTCTTTTGGTAACAATTCTTGAATTTTGTTGTTTCTTTTGAAAAAAAGAAGATATCTTCTTTTGTTTAATATCATAAACGGCACTACCAATACCACCTTGCTGTCTAATTAATCCATTAAGATGTTCAACATAATTATTTCTAATGACTTCAATTCGTAAAGGTTCTTGTTTGTGATCGTCACATGGATGAACTCTTAATGTAAATATAGAAGTGTTATGTAAAGGAACAAATTGCCACGGTTGTTGCTGACGTAACAATGTTTTATGTGATAACAAAGCATTTAAAAATTCATTAATGAAAATCGAATGTGACACGATTAAAATGTGTGGATATTCTTGTTGACAAGTGATTTGTTGTCGTCGTTGTTGATAATGGGTTAGTAAATCTGATATGAATGTCGTTGCTCTATTGAATACATCTTGTAATGATTCTGCTCCTTCTCCGACAAATTTAATTAACCGAGGATCAGGAGGGGTGATGGCATATTTCACAGGTATGTTAAGTGATTTGTCTTCAAAATTACCGAAATGTTGTTCCCTTAACCGAAAATCCGTACATATTTCCATTGGATTTGTGACGAAATAAATATTTCGTGAGAGAATTAATTTTGCTGTGGTCATTGTTCTAGTTAAGTCACTTGAAATTGCAAATGTAAACTATAATAATAATTTAAGAGAAGTAAGATGTTGAGAAAAAAAGAAAATGGTGAACCTGTTGAAGAAGCGAACCTTTTCATGTTTCAATGCTTCTCCCGCCTGCTCTGCTTGCTTTTATCATTAATTAAATCAATTAAAATCAAATTGATAATTGTTTTGGTTCGATTATTAATAGGAAACGAATTTAATTTGATATTTTTATTATTATACCTGTGCTCCAAAATTCGTTAATGGACTATCAGTATGTCCTTGCCAGCGACGTTGAATATTTCCAATACTTTCTCCGCTGAAAAATCAAAATATTAATTCTCCTTTATAACAAAATTCTCATAAAATATTAACTTACTTACTGTCTTACTATTGTTATTGCAAGCATTTTAGTTAAAATCGCGTCTTAAAAATTATATTCTCGGTAAATCGTTATGAGTAAATCAAAGTTCGGACACGTGATTTTATATGCACCGATCGTGAATCCGTTTACCGGTTGATTTTATTTTCGATAACGATAAATTTTTAATTTTATGTTACACGATATTTATTGAATTTTATTGGCTGATTAATGTTGATCGTCTCAAAAAATCGGACCAATAAATGGATTTTTAACTATGCTGGTAGTTTATAAAAAATCTGTTGTTTACTTTCGCGCTAAACAATGTCGTCACAATACAAGATATCACAAATTGCAGGCGAGAAATACTTTACGTCAACTCCTACGAGTGATTAGTCATATTCTGGGTATCTCGAGGCCGTGAAACATTACATTAATAACAGCACCAGATTGAATGCATTAAAATCTTTATGGAGGAAACGATTCAACGAACATTTAAGAGAAATCGAAAAAGATCGGAGAAATGTACTATTGCAACAGCTCTTCTTATTCAGGTCAAATTTCGTTACTAGATTATTTTCCAGACTGTATTTGTGCCACTGGGAGCAGGTGACGCCCTGTTAACTCCTGGAGCTAGGTGACGCCCTCGGTACAATATACAGTGCTTGTACTTATGCACTGCACCACTGGAAGCAGGTGACGCCCTGTTAACTTCTGGAGCTAGGTGACGCCCTCGGTGCAATGTGTAGCAAGCATCAATGATCTTTGTATAATTACATATAAGTAAAGCAAGGAATAAAGCAAGGCTAATAGATAATTTATTTTTTTTTTTGTTTTAAGGATTCAAAAGCCACTGAATTCTGGAACCGATTTGAAAAGAAACGAACTCTAAAAGAACAACAGGTATAATAACGATTAGTGGATACGTTTCAATCGTTAATTCATCTAATACTGTTGTATAATGTTAAACAGTATGATACAAATGTCGAAATACAAGTAAACACTCTAAAAGTGATGAGCACTGCTTCATCGTATCAAAGGAATGAATTATCCAAACAAATGGAAATTTCGGGTGACAATGATAAAATCTGGTAAGATTATGAATATTACTAATATACAATTCTTTAAGAGTAGTTAACAATATACTTTTCTTTTTATAGAAACGTCAAAATGATGACTATATTGAGAAAGAAAATTCAAAATCTTGTAAAGTTGAGGATAGCGGTGTGAAGAAGCAGGAAAAAGAAAAAGGAAATAATTTGGTAGGGTATTGCAATTCTTTATTTACTTTGTGTGGACATAGAAATATCTAAACAATTAAAATGAATTTTACAGAATGATAATGATCACAGTCAGGTTAAAAATCTCCTAAACGAGTTGCGTAGTTCAGAAAAAATGAAAAATTTAGTGGAATGTTTTCAAAAATATTGTAACGAATCTGTCAATGAATTAACTAAGAACGAAATTATGGATCTTACTCCGTCTTCGGAGTTCGTACTAAGATATACGGATGAAGATGACTACATGCAAGTTCTAAGAGAGACCTTTGAGTCCGTTGATGAGTTATTTCCAGAAAGCGCAATTAAGTTCCTTAATGAGTTTTTTTCAGAGGTATTGTTTTATACTATCCAGTGGTAATTTGTCTCTTTGCTAGTCAATTACATCATCACAATTTATATCTTGGCAGACTTGCATTCACGAACAATGGGATGATAAGTTAGAAAGCTTATTAGAACCGGAAGAAGATCAATTTTTAAAAAAATTGAAAAGACTATTATTCGAAACGTTACCCATCTTGTAAGTAACTTTTATTATTCTCAGTTAAAACCATTATTTATTGACATTTTTATTTGTCTTTTAGCTTTGATGCATTTTCAATGCTCTATGATAATCCACTCAAAAATCACAATATGTTGGAAGAAGAGTACATGAACACATACATCCATCCCGTTCTAAAGAAGGCTTTGCACAGGTTTTCGAATATTCGTTATATACAGTAAGTATTATTCCTAACAATATTTTTTATATTATTGTGTTAAGTTTTGATTTTTTTTTATAGAGGTAACAAGGCTGTTCAAGCGTCTGCGTATAGGAAACTAGTAATGAGGCAAGAGGGATATGCAGATCGTTCAGACGGCCTCGCTTACATTATTACCGAAAAACAATATGAAATATGTGTTATAGAAGGATCTAGACCATATGTCGTTGATGATACGAAAGAAATGTCTGATTTTGTTCAGAATGCGAGGGCAGGAAAAGATATAATAAATTACACTGTTGTGTCTGAAGTTAAACTGAAGCGAGCTCCGCCTTTACAATTTAAGGCCTATATGGTGCAGAGTATTGGACTAAGTCTTAGATTTTACTTTATGGATTATTTAGGTACAGTGGCTTCCAAAAAAAACGCACCACTATATTGCTTATTATTAATCATGTGCTTTATGATTAATAAACAAAATC